AAAATCAAAAAGATAAATAAAAATAAAAACAAAAAGCTAAATGAAAAAATAAGTAAAATAAAGAAATACAGGACAGGGAAAAAAAAAACCCTTTCAACACAGGACCATATAGTTTCACTGGCAAATTCTACTAAACATTTAAAGAAGAATAAATGCCAATCCTTCTCAAACTCTTCCAAAAAACTTGAAGAGGAAGGAACACTACCAAACTCATTTTATGAGCCCAGTGTTGCCCTAATACCAAAGCCAAATAAAGACACTGCATGAAAAATAAAAACAACAACTAAAGGCCAATATTTCTGGTGAATATAGATGCAAAACATCTCAACAAAACATTAGTAAACTGAATTTTAAAATACCTTTAAAATGGTTACGCATTCTAACATGGATGCAAGGATGGTTCAACATATGCATAAATAAATATGATATATCACATTAATAAAACAAAAGATAAAAATCATATGATCATCTCAACACATGCAGAAAACCATTTGACAAAACACAACAAATTTTCATGATTAAAACCCTCAACAAAATAGGTGTAGAATAACCTACTTCAACAAAATAAAGGTCATATACAAGAAACCCAGAGCTAACATTATACTCAATGGTAGAAAATGGAAAGCTTTTCCTGTATGATCAAGAACAAGACAAGTATGCTCATTCTCACCATTTCTATTCAACATAGTACTGAAAATCCTAACTAGAGCATTTAAGCAAAACATGAAATAAAAGACATCTAAATCAGAAAGAAAGCAGTAAAATTATAGTTACTTGCAGATGATATAATCTGATATACAGAAAACCCTAAAGAATCAAACAAAAAAAATATTGGAACTAATCAAAAAGTGCAGGATATAAAAGTCAACATAGAGATATTAATTGCATTTCTACATGCCAACATCTAAAAAAGAAATAAAACTATCAAATCAAAATAGCATAAAAAAGCAATCAAATAGGAATGAATTTACCAAGGAATTAAATATCTATACAATAAAAACTACAAGAATTTTGTAAAAAGAATTTCAAAACAACACAAGTGGAAAATATCTGATGTTCATGTATTAAAAGAATTAATATTATTAAAAAGTCTAGATCTGCTCCTGTACTGATATGCCAAAGATTTGGAGAAAACAGCCCAGGAGTTCCAGCCTCTATGGAGACATATGTAGAAATGCTTCACTTCCTCACACAACCAAAAGAAGGACAACAAGAAATTTAAAAACAAAAAATAACTAGAACTGCCAGATATTCAAACTTCACGGAAGTCTGACAACCAAGGAGTTAAAGAAATATTCATCCCAACTGATAGGAGGAGCAGAGACGGGCAGCCGAGGTGGAGAGGACTCATAGCTAGGGAGGTGGCTGGTGGACCAGTTGGTCTCACATTCATGGGCTGATAAGCTGGGAAGAACCATTGGGAAGCAAGACAGCTTGCAGAACCCAGGGTCTCAGCATGGGAAACTACAGGGTCAAAAGCTCTGGATGTAAAAATCTGCAGGAGTTGTGGCAGTGGGAGAAACTCTCAGGATCACAGGAGAGTCCTTGGGAGAGTCCCACAGGGTCCTAGAGTGTACACAAACCCACTCATGTGAGAATCAGCATCTGAAAGGCCACAATCCACTTCTGGGAAGTGAAGGAAGTGATTGAAAGTAGGGCTATAGCAAAGTCAGCAAGTGGCATTGTTCCCTCTCTGACCCCTTCCCCGTAGACAGTGCCACAATGGCAGCAAATAGGGTTGCCCCACCCTGGTCAATACCTAAGGATCTGCCCCTTACAACATAACAGGTGTGCCAAGACAAAGAAATATGGCCCAAATGAAAAAAAAACAGATCAAAACTCCAGAAAAAGAACTAAGTGACAAGGAAATAGCCAACATATCTGATGCAGAGTTCAAAACACTGGTAAGCAGGATGCTCACAGAAATGATTGAGCTCAGTTGCAAAGAGAAGGAGGAAATGGAGGTGAAATAAAGTGAAATAAAAGAAAATATACAGGAAAGCAAAAGTCAAGGTAAAGAAACTGGAACTCAAACCAAGGATTTAAAACAAAATGAAGAAATAAATATCCAACTGGAACAGAAAGAAGATATAAGAATAAAATAAATGAGAAGAGGCTGAGAAAGCTCTGGGACAACTTTAAACATTCCAACATCCAAATCATAGGGGTACCAGAAGGAGAACAGGAAGAGCAAGAAATTGAAAACTTTTTCAAACAAATAATGAAGGAAAACTTCTCCAATCTGGAAGAAGATGATAAAAAATATGAACAAGAAAATCACAGCAAACTGACAACTATCAACAACTGAACCTAAAAAACAAAAACAAAAACTAAGCGAACAATTAGAAGAGGAATAGAATCACAGAAATGGAGATCACATGAAGGATTATCAGTGGGGAGGGGGAGGGGAGGAATAGGGGGAAAAGGTATAGGAAGGTAAGAAGCATAATACATACACACAAAATAAACAGGGGAAGATTGAGAATAGTATAGGAAATGGAAAAGCCAAAGAACTTATATATATAACCAGTGGACATTAACTAAGTGATGGGGGAGTGCTGGAGAGTGGAGGCTGCAGGGAGGAGGGGGATGAAGGGAATAACCAAATTGGGACAACTATCCCAATAAATGGTAAAATCAACAAAATATACTGAAAAAAAAATGTCTATAGAACAGATGGTCCAAAGCCATCTGTAGAATCAACACAATCCCTATCAAAATCCCAATGGCATTTTTCCCATAAATAGAAAAAATCCCAAAATTCACATAGAACCATAAATGATGCAGAATAAACAAATCAATTATAAAAAAAGAACAAACCCAGATGCATTACACTTCCTGATTCCAAACTGTTATGTATTACAATGGTGTAGTAATTAAAACAGTAAGGTACTGACTAAAAATAGGCCCAGAGACCAATGGAACAGAATAGGCAGCCCAGAAATAAACCCTGACATATACACTCAACTAATATTTGACAAGGAAGCCAAGAACATTTAAAGAGGAAAGAATAGTCTCTTCCACAAATGTTGGCAATATTGGATAACCACAGGAAGAAAAATGAATTTGGACCCTTATTTTAAATAAACTCAAAATGAATTTAAAACTTTAACATAAGACCTCACACCATAAAACCCCTAGAAGAAAGTGTAGGGCAACCTCATTAACATTGGTCCTGGCAATAAATAATTTTTGGAGATAACACCAAAAGCACAGGCAACAAAAGCAAAATTCGACAAGTAGGATGACATTATGCTAAGTGGGCATTATGTTAAGTGAGATACATCAGACAGAGAAAGACAAATACTGTATAGTATCACTTATATGTGAAATACAAAACAAATTAAAAACAGAAAGTAGAATGGTAGTTACCAGGACCTAGATGAGTGAATTGGGGAGATATTTAAAGGTACAAACTTGCAAATAGTAGAAAAATAAATTTTGGAGGTCTAATACACAGCATAGTGATTATAGGTAACAATAATGTATTATAAACCTAAAGTTGCTAAGAAATTAGATCTTAATTTTACCACCACAAAAAAAGAAACAATAAGTACATGACATGATAGAGGTGTAAGCTAATGCAATGCTAGTAATTATTTTTGCAATACCTAAATGTATAAAATCAACACATTGTACACCTTAAATTTACATAATGTTAAATTTACATAATGTTCCTATTCATCTTAACAAAATATTATTTTTAAAATGATAACACTCATGCTTATGTTGTTGATAACAAGGGTGAGCTAAGAAATGTGTGTAAAATTTATTCCATTTTTAAGCATTGTCATGATAGACACCTTATTTGTTTATTCAAAGAGGTCTGAAAAGAATGTGAAAGTGGACTGGCTGGTTTATATGAAAATGAACAGAAGGGGATGCATAGGAACAGAGGTGTTGAAAAGAGGATCCAGGAGTACAAGGGCATGCACTTTCTAACTACTGAGACTGGATTTTCAGGTGCAAATAGCCACAATGTAAAATAGGGATTAACTTCGTAATCTATTTGTAATCTATATTACCACCTTGTCCAGGGAAACTAGAATTATTCCTAGGGGAAGTGTCTGCTCTGATTATGATAGTCATGGGGCAATAAATTCTCCATGATGTGAGAGAAGGAAAGACAGACTGTATACTTACTGCATCAAAAGCTCTGTATCTTTATGAGGCTTTTACTTAGAAACCAGAAATAAAATGAGAGGAAAGCCCATGATATGCAGCCAATAATCATGATGCCTTGATCTCTGTTTCACATTTTTTTCACTGACCTGAAAATTACTTAAATTAAATTTATAGGGGTGACATTGATTCGCAAAATCATACAGATTTCAAGTACAGAACTCAACGAGACATCATCTGCACACTGCATCATGCACCCATTGCCCTAAGAAAATCTCTTTCCATCCCCATTGCCCACCACCTTTGCCCACCTCCACCTATATCCAAAGAAACCTGAAACACCTGGGAATTTTTTATCTCTCTAATCCTAATTTTCTATGAACTTTACTTTTGGTTTTCACTGTTAGATGCTTCTTTTTTCTTTGCACCCACAACATGTGACATTGAGGATCTAGACCAAATTAAACAAAAATCATTTTTACTTGGTCCATGGGGTGGTAGAACTGTCCCAGAAACAGTGTGTCTTAACTGATCTCACCAGCTGTGCTGAAACATCCACTGTGCCAGACCTGTGGAGTGAAGAAAAGAAAGCCACACATATTTTTTAAGTATGATTTACTGTATCAGATTTGTGGGAGGGGGTGGGGTCAGAGTACCACCTGACATGAAAAAGCCTTGTATCTCATATAAGGAGATATGTAAGATTCAGCATCTCATTGGTATTTGAATTTCAGAAAGTTTCCTTTTATGTAGTCTCTAATGGCAGAGAAGATGTTAACTAGGGTTTCTATTGGCTGCTGGAAGATGGCGATGTCAAGCAATGGGACTATATAACCTCCTTCCTGCTTAAAGGACCCCTCATTAAGGATCAGGAGGGTTCCTTGTATGGTTTGAGAAAGTTAAGGCTATTACCTGTAGACATGAGGGTCAAAACACCCATGAATGGACACAGCTTTCTCCAAGGATTTGCTTTTTTCCTCTTCGGTGTCGTAGTGAGCGCTCAAGGTAAGCATAGCCTCACTTCCTAAAATCAGCAGTGATACTGGATTAGTTCTAACAGTCTGGGGGAGATGATCACTGGGATTATAAAGACAACACCTCCTTATTGATCATTTGGTTTTCACCAAATGTAATCTTTAGTGACAGTTGATATTGATTTTTCTCCTGTAGGGAAAGTTTTTCACGTTTAAATGGGAGATGTCTCAGAGATGTAAACTTTGTTCTCAGATTGACCTAAATCTGTGTTTCATACCTCTCCAGCACCTAAAGCTCAAATCACCTTCTGCAGTGGATTATGGCTGAGGGTCTATCCCAGGCTGGGTCTCTGATCTGTCCTTCCTCTATTCTATATTATGTCTCTCCCAACCAGTATTTTGGTATTTCTTCTCTTTCAGCCAATAGATTTTGTGTGTGAATATATGTACATGTTTGTTGGAGAGAGGGGGGGGCGGAGAGAGAGAGAAAGGGAGGGAGAGAGAGAGGGGGAGAGAAAGTGTGGAGGGAAGTTTGAAGAGCATGTGGAGGTTAAATATAAAAGCAAGAATATGTCTGCCCAGGGAAATCAACATTTTAGACAGGAGTTCATAGAACTCTCATTCTCTAAACCAGACTGTTGGACTTGGTGGTGGAAGTGGTAGTGGTGGCGATGATACATGTACATGTGTATATGATTAGGGCAGAGATGGAAACCTTCCTGCCTATAAAGAAAGCCCTTCCAATATGAACTATAATTACATCCCCTAGTAACCCTGCACCTGCATCTAAGCCTGACTTTGAGATTCTTTATCTTCCCCACAAATCCACAGCTCTGATGTTTTTCTGCTTTACTGTAGTTTTTCTCCAGCATTGGGTTCTTCGAAGAATTTTGTCTTGTCTGTGATGTTTTTCCTTCTTAACTTCTGGATCAATGGTCCTCAAACCCCCATGTTCAGCAGAGAAAAGTGATGCCAAATGTAGTTGTTCATGGGTGAATTAATATTAGCATTGAAGGCAGAAGGAATGGAGCCTCAGAGACTCCAGGATGTACCTCTCTTGGTCAATTTTGCCCTGCCCCACTGGGGTACATGAGCTTGTTCTGTGACATCCTAAAAGATCTGCTAACTGAGAAGAATCCTGTGCTTATCAACATCCTATGGTGAATTTTCTCTCTTGTAGTTCCCACAGATCCTACATGAAAACTGGCCCTCATTGGGCCCCTGACTCAAGATATCAGAGTGCAAACTCCTAAAAGAATAATCTAGCCACATACCAGGAGAGCCGGATCTTGTAGTTGTGGGTGTTGGTCTCTGGCTGCCTTTGCAATGCTCCTCACCTCTATCCCTCCCCTTAACCATGTTTCCTCTTTATTTCAAGCCCCTCCAGTCAGAAGTCTTTGTCTCTCCTCTTTGGGAAATTCTACTCCTCCCGACAGGAGCAGAAGTACTATTTCTCACTCCCTTGTTATATTTCTTGAAACTTCCAGTTCTTTGGGTTTTGGCTATATGCTAATAATGGTTAATTTTGATATTTTTATCTAAATTAAGGGCCCACCCCATTATAGTCATGAAAATTCTATCTTTAATTTAATTAGTGTGTCTTGCTTGAAGTCTACTTTTTTGTGATATTGATATAGCTATTTCACTTGACTAATGGTTAGCGATTACATAGTATATAAATATATATTCTCCATTATTTTACTTTCAACATTTTTCTTTTGCCCTCATATAAAAGATATCTTGCATATAGCATTCACCTGAATTTTGTTGTTTTAACTAGATTGGTTTTTGCTTGAGGTATCTAATCCATTTACATTAAATGCAATTAATGATATTATTTGGTTAGTGTGTGCCATTTGTTTTTAATTGACTCAACTGCTTTATATTCCTTTTTCTTTCCTTTTCCTTTTTTTTGCCTTCTTTATATTAACCACATTCGTTATTATTCCAGATTTTTCTCTTTTTCTTTGATTTTCAGCAACATTACTAGGCATGGGGCTTTTCATATCTTTCTTAGGGTTCTTTGAGCTTCTGGAATGTGTGTGTTATACTTTTCATCCACTTTTAAAATTCTCAACCCTTATCTCTCCAAGTATTACTGCTGTGGCACTCTTTGTCTCTGTCTCTCTGTCTGTGTCTCTCTATTCCTCATCTTCATCCTCCTTCTCTTCTCTCCTCTAAGTCACTAATTCTCTCTCAAGTTCTAGCTAAAATTCTTTTAACCTATCCATTTCATTCTTAATTCTAGACATTTTATTTCCAGTTGGTATTGTTACTTTGACTTATATATTTACAATTCTTTGTTTTATTTTTTCATCTTTTTTCCACTTTTTCCTTCTTCCCTCTTTTATCTTAAACACATAAATCATAAATTCCTTATCTGCTAACTTCAACATCTTTATCATGTGTGTTTCTGTCTCCTCTTTTTTCCACTATTAATTTGTCATATGATCTCCCTTCTTTACAGTCATGCAAGTACTGATTGAATGCTAAAAATTGTATATGAAAAAGATAAGTTATCCAGACATATTGTCTAACACCTGAAAGGATTCATCTTGTCTTCTACTAAGCAGGTGGAAGAGGGGTGCTGATCACCCAAATATCTAAGTACAACCTAGAACTGAGCTGAAACGAGTCTGGGTTACAGTTTCAGCAACATTCAGTCCACCTCTGATTTTTCCATATTTCTATGGCATGGGCTCCCAGGGATTTTAGTTGAGAGTTTGGATGTTTTGGTAGCTTAGCACTCAAGAGAATGAGGAAATATAAACTCTGCTTTCCAAAATTTTTGACGTAGTTCTTTGGCCTTCTGCCCTTCACAGCTTTTATACTGGGCAAATATTTGAGGAGAAACCCTGTTGCGTGCCCTGGCTGGCGTAGTTCAGTGGACTGAGCACGGGTTGCGAACCAAAGTGTCACAGGTTCGATTCCCAGTCAGGCCACATACCTGGGTTGCAGGCCACGGCCCCCAGCAACTGCACATTGATGTTTCTCTCTCTCTCTCTTTCTCCCTCCCTTCCCTCTCTAAAAATAAATAAATAAAATCTTAAAAAAAAGAAAACCTGTTGTGTGAGAGAGGCCTGCAAGTCTCCAATATTGTCACTCCAGCACCAGTTAACTCCCAAAGGTATGCTGGCTTCTTTGTCCCACAGGTGTCCTCTGTCTTACCTAAGTGCAGATTCTGTATTTTTAACCCATTCATTGAATTGAAGAATTCCCATAGGAAAAAAAATGTGGTAGACCCTTGGCTAACACTGAAATATTCTCCACTCTGGAATATCAGCATATATAGTCCATGTCACATCTACAAATATCTAATACGTTTTTTACATTTTTCAGTTTTTTTAGTTGTACCCAGTAGAACCCTTCTTTTTTCCCTTTATTTTATTTTTTTATTGTTGTTCTATTACATATGTCCCCATTTCCCCCCACCACACAAACCCTCACCTTCCATACTCAATCCCATCCCCCATTGTCTTTCTCCATGCATCTTTCATGCAGGTTCCTTGATGACCCTCCCTTTCTTTCCCCCATTACCCCTCATCTCCCCTCTGGTCTCTGTCAGTTTGTTATTTCAATGTCTGGGGTTATATTTTGCTTGCTTGTTTGTTTTGTTGGTTAGGTTTCATTTATAGTCAGGACCATTCTTATTTAAAATATATTTTATTGATTATGCTATTACAGCAGTCCCATTTTTTCTTTCCTTTATTCTCCTCTGCCCTGTACCTCCTTCCCACCATCATTCCCTCACCTTAGTTCATGTCCATGGGTCATACATATAAGTTCTTTGGCTTCTCCATTTCCCATACTATTTTTAACCTTCCCTTGTCTATTTGGTACCTACTATTTATGCTTCTTATTCTCTGTACATTTCCCCCCATTCTCCCCTCTCCACTTCTTCAGTGATAACCTTTCATGTGATCTCCATTTCTATGATTCTGATTCTGTTCTAGTTGTTCACTTAGTTTGTTTTTGTCTTTGTTTCTTTTAGGTTTGGTTGTTGATAGCTGTGAGTTTCTTGTCATTTTACTGTTTGTGTTTTTGATCTTCTTCTTCTTCATAGATAAGTCCCTTTAATGTTTCATGTAATAAGCACTTGGTGATGATGAACTCCTTTAACTTGACTTTATCTGGGAAGCCCTTTTTCTGCCCTTCCATTCTAAAGGATAGCTTTGCTGGGTAGAGTCATCTTGGATGTAGGCCCTTGCCTTTCATGACTTTGAATACTTCTTTCCAGCCCCTTCTTGCCTGCAAGGTTTCTTTTGAGAAATCAGCTGATAGTCTTATGGGCACTCCTTTGTAGGTAACTGTCTTCCTTCCTCTTGCTGCTTTTAAGATTCTCTCCTTCTCTTTAATCTTGGGGAATGTAATTATGATGTGTCTTGGTATGCACTTCCTTGGGTCCAACTTCCTTGGCTCTGAGCTTCCTGGACTTCCTGAAAGTCTATTTCCTTTGTCAGATTAAGGAAGTTCTCCTTCATCATGTTTTTGAATAAGTTTTCAATTTCCCGCTCTTTCTGTTCTCCTTCTGGCACCCCTATGATTCTGATGCTGGAACATTGAAAGTTGTCCTGGAGGTTCCTAAGTTTCTCCTCATTTTTTTGAATTCTTATTTCTTCATTCTGTTCTGGTTGAATGTTTCTTTCTTCCTTCTGCTCCAAGTCATTGATTTGAGTCCCGGTTTCCTTCCCAACACTGCTCGTTCCCTGTACATTTTCTCTTATTTCACTTTTCATAGCCATTACATTTTTCTGTATTTTGTGACCATACTCAACCATTTCTGTGAGGATTCCAATTACCAGTGTTTTGAACTCTGCATCTAATATGTTGTCTAACTCTTCATCCTTTAGTTGTATTTTTTCTGGAGCTTTTATCTGTTCTTTCATTTGGACCATAATTTTTTGTCTCCATGTATCTGTTACATAGTAACAGGTGGAGCTTTAGCTATTCTCCAGGGTGGGGCAACCCATGTTGTTGTGTTATGGGCCTGTATGTGGATGAGGGGTCCAAGAGGGAACAATGCCACTTGTTCAGCTTTTGGTTGGCTTTCAGTCACTTCTTTTGCTACCCATAAGCAAATTGGACACTTTTGATGCTGATTCCCAGGTAGGTGGGTTTATATACATCCTAGGACCCCGTAAGTCTCTCCAACAAGCTCTCCAGTGAATCTAGCAGTTTCTCCTGATGCTGTAGCACCCACCGGTTTTTTTCAGTCAGTGGTTTTGAGGCTTTATTTCCCCACATTGGAACCCTAGGTTATGCGGTCTGTCTCACTCCCCAGTTGTTCCTCCTGGTTTATCCACATGCAAATGTGGGGCCACCCAGTCCACCAGCCACTACCTTACCCGGTCCACCAGCTGCCACCTTGCCACAGGTCCTCTATACCCTAGCTGCCCATCTCCCCCACTCTTACTAGTCTGGATGAATATTTCTTCTTTAACTCCTTGGTTGTCAGACTTCCATACAGTTTGATTTTCTGGCAGTTCTAGTTATATCTTGTTTTTAAATTTGTTATGCTTTTTCTGGTTGTAGGAGGAGGCAAAACGTATCTATCTACACCTCCATCTTGGCCAGAAGTTGGTAGGACCATTCTTAATGGAAAAAAAATGTTCTAGGTTTTAGTGTCTACTCATCACTTACTTAAAGTAAATTGATAGACATTATTTAACTTCTCTTCACATCCCTTTTTCACATTTAAAAATTAGAGAATATAATAGAGTGGATCTGTCAAAATTGTCTGTTCAAGTACATTCAGAATAGGAATATAACCTGTTTCTGTTCTGTAGTCAAGTTAGAAATACATGATATGTTCCCCCAGACAGAGAACAAATAACTCCTGCTATTATTTTGAATAATAGCAACTCCTGACATGAAGATTAGATTTGTTTGAAGGAAAAGGCAACATTCTTTGATTGCCAGTGAAATGTCTGACCAATGTCAATATCATCTTATTATCTCTCAAGTAAGGTTGTCCAATCTAGCTAAAGAGAAGTACATACTTTTGAAACTAAGTATCCATATCTGGAGTCTGAAGCCTAGGAATCTTAAGTGAAGTATTCTAGGATAAACCATGGCCTGTGTACTGATCCATTTTTCAGCTCTGAATACTATATGCCAAGAAGGAAAACTCTGAATGGAATAGAATTAACGGCTGCTACCTGAGACATCTGATGAGCTTACCCCAGTTCCTCACTCCATTCTCTTTAATCTAATTCTTCTATTTTTCAGATTAATAGCACCCAAGTGTGCATGGTTTATAAAAGATGTATCTAGCTGATAGCCCATTAGAGTGAATTTGAACACATTTACCTCAGTGTAGAGATATTCTCATATTTCCTACATATCTTTCACAAGTGCTGTGCAGAATTCTACAAATCAGAAGGTTAACTCTCTTGGGATCCATGTAACACTTTTCTGAGACTACTCACCAGATTATTTTCTGCTTAATTTTTCTTGTTCTTTATGTGTGTGTTTATTTCTATTTTTCAACCCTATTACTCTCTGATCACTGCCGTAGGAAACCAGAGCCAGGTGTGACATACTGCAGCCCAGCTGCCCAGGTGAGGTTCTCCCACAGGACCAGAAAATCCTTCTTTTCCTGTGTAAATGTCCCTTTGGCCTCTCTCTCCTCAGACACAAGACAACTCCGTCTGGTGAATGGAGGCAGTAGCTGTGCTGGCAGAGTGGAGATCCTAGACCAAGGTTCCTGGAGCACCATCTGTTCTTACTTGTGGAACCTGGATAGTGCCCAGGTGGTGTGCAGACAGCTGGGCTGTGGTGAAGCCCTCGATGCCACAACCTCTTCTTACTTTGGGCCAGGATCAGGCAAGATCTGGAACATGGTTGTGGTCAGGTGCAATGGAGATGAGTCCCACCTGTGGAACTGCACTACCTTTAATGGGGCAGAGCATTTCTGCCAGCACAAGGACGACATAGGTGTCATCTGCTCAGGTCTGTACTGCACATTCTCCATTGGCTGGGGAGGAGATGGGGGCATTCAAGCATGGGATTCTGAGTCCTGGAGGGAGTGGGGGTGTTGCAGAAGGGGCAGAGGAAAAGGAAGCTTGTTTCCACAGTGCCTGTGCAGACAGCTTGGCTGTGGAGAACCCTTCAAGGCCACTTATCAGGGCAGGATTAGGATGGAACTGACTGGACAGTGTAAAGTGCACAGAAAAGGAGTCCCATGTATGCAAATGCCCTTGTCAGGGCTGGGGGCCATTTTACTGTAGTCATGGGGAGAATGCAGGAGCCACTTCCTCAGGTATGGTCAGTGCATTGTCCACCAGGTGAAAGAATGGCAAGTCCCAGAGAAACTGGTGTCTGATCACTGGGGCAATAGAGGATGATGGGCTACAGAATCTGAGACATCTACCTATAATCCCAAAGAGCACAAAACATCTCAGAACAATGGGCTTCATTTACTTTCCTCTTATTGTCTCAATTGCCAATCTTTCCTTCTTGAGTAACAAAATAGTTTATTCTAGTATTATCTCAATTGAAATTAATCTTCATGGTTTTTTTAAATGTTACCTTCATAAGAACAATTTTGGGAGGAATTTGAGCCAAGATGGAGGCATAGGTAGTGACACTGTGCTTCCTTGCACAATGAAAAGGAGGACAATAAATTTAAAAACAAAAAATAACTAGAACTGCCAGAAAATCTAACTCTATGGAAGTCTGACAACCAAGGAGTTAAAGAAGAAACATAAATCCAGGCCAGTAGGAAGGGTGGAGAGGACTCAAGGCAAGGCAGCAGCTGAAGGACCAGGTGAGGCTGCAGCTGGCAGACTGGGCAGGCCCACATTTCTGTGCAGATAAACCAGGAGTAACAACTGGTGAGTGAGACAGACTGCACAACCCATCATTCAAGAATGGGGTAATAAGTCTCAAAACCTCTGGCTGAAAAAAATCTGTGTGTGTTGCAGTGGCAGGAGAAACTCCCAGCCTCACAGGAAAGTTCATAGCAAAGACCCACGAGAACATAGAACATATACAAACCCACCCACCCAGGAATCAGCACCAAAAAGGCCCAATTTGTTTGTGGGTAATGGAGAAAGTGACTGAAAGCCAAGAACTGGGCAAACAGGCATTGTTCCCTCTGGGGCCAATCCCCCACATAACAGGCCACAACAAAGCAACAGTTTTCCTTGCCTTGGAGAATACCTAAGGCTTCTCCTGTTACTATACAACAGGTGCACCAACACAGACACACACAAAAAATATGGCCCAAACGAGAGGGCATATCAAAGCTCCAGAAAAAAATACAACTAAGCAATGAAGAGATTGTCAACCTCTCAGATGCATAGTTCAAAACACTGGTAATCAGAATGCTCACAGAAATGGTTGAGTATGGTAGCAAAATAGAAGAAAAATGAAAGCTACACAGAGTAAAATAAGAGCAAATGCACAGGGAACCAACACTGAAGGGAAGGAAGCCAGTACTCAAATCAATGACTTGGAGCAGAAGGAAGAAAGAAACATTCAACCAGAACAGAATGAAGAAATAAGAATTCAAAAAAATGAGGAGAAACTTAGGAACCTCCAGGACAACTTTCAATGTTCCAGCATCAGAATCATAGGGGGTGCCAGAAGGAGAACAGAAAGAGCGGGAAATTGAAAACTTATTCAAAAACATGATGAAGGAGAACTTCCTTAATCTGACAAAGGAAATAGACTTTCAGGAAGTCCAGGAAGCTCAGAGCCAAGGAAGTTGGACCCAAGGAAGTGCATACCAAGACACATCATAATTACATTCCCCAAGATTAAAGAGAAGGAGAGAATCTTAAAAGCAGCAAGAGGAAGGAAGACAGTTACCTACAAAGGAGTGCCCATAAGACTATCAGCTGATTTCTCAAAAGAAACCTTGCAGGCAAGAAGGGGCTGGAAAGAAGTATTCAAAGTCATGAAAGGCAAGGGCCTACATCCAAGATGACTCTACCCAGCAAAGCTATCCTTTAGAATGGAAGGGCAGAAAAAGGGCTTCCCAGATAAAGTCAAGTTAAAGGAGTTCATCATCACCAAGTGCTTATTACATGAAACATTAAAGGGACTTATCTATGAAGAAGAAGAAGATCAAAAACACAAACAGTAAAATGACAAGAAACTCACAGCTATCAACAACCAAACCTAAAAGAAACAAAGACAAAAACAAACTAAGTGAACAACTAGAACAGAATCAGAATCATAGAAATGGAGATCACATGAAAGGTTATCACTGAAGAAGTGGAGAGGGGAGAATGGGGGGAAATGTACAGAGAATAAGAAGCATAAATAGTAGGTACCAAATAGACAAGGGAAGGTTAAAAATAGTATGGGAAATGGAGAAGCCAAAGAACTTATATGTATGACCCATGGACATGAACTAAGTGAGGGGAATGCAGGTGGGAGTGGGGGTGCAGAGAAAAATGGGCTGCTGTAATAGCATAATCAATAAAGATATTTTTTAAAAGAACAATTTTGTAAGAGATTTTGTAAATCACTACACACATTCCCTTTGTATAGTGAGCTATCCTATTAGAGGGAAAGTCAAGAATAAGGATATACTTTGGTTGAATTATTTCTGTGTACATAATGTGAGACACTGTTTTGCACTAGATTACTAGTGGTCCAGAGGATATCATTTAACAAATCAGAAAGGAATTTATGGATTGTGCGAAATTGCAATTCTCCTCTGTAGTGTTTGTAGTCTTTGACCAGTAGAACCAAAGATATTTGGATGATACCCTTTGCGTCATAGGTTCTCCTTTCATTGTTACATGAAAGGATTCTTCATTTTTTCTTTCAAAACATCTGTATAAACTTAAACTTGGGAGGGACACTTGCAGTGGCAAGTCAAAGTATTAATTTGTGTCTTTTATGTAAGAATTATATAGTTTTTACCTGACAGCTCAGTCGTTTGGGAGTTTATTTGATAAGAATGGCAATAAGGGCACAAACAATTTTTGAAGGAGGTGGAAGAGGTTTACAGTAGCTGTGGGTGGTGAGGATGACAATGGTATCTTCCAAAGGACACATATGGGTTTCTCTGAACAGCACAAAGAGTCCAGGGGTGGTGTAGAGAAGGCTCTGTGTAACTTTATGTAAATTCTGTGTGGCTGGTTGTAGGGATTGAGAAGAATGAGGTGTAAGGTTGACTCAAGGGTGAGATAAGGAAAAGGTCAGGGTGATGGAAATGGGATCCCAGAGGTGAAATTTTAAGTGACTGGCCTAAGGACACAGGATATCTATATAGCAGGACACCAGACAATAAATCTGACCATAATTTTCATTCAGTTTTTGGGCAGGTTGATTAATACAAATATCCCTCTGAAGAGGCAGTTTCATTTTCTTTGTACTATCCCGGACTCTCATACACTTAGCAAAGGTCTTAATCCTGTTTACTCCTGTTTATCCTCCACTAGAATAAAAGCCCTGCAAACATAACATTCTCCTCCTATGAATACATTCTTTTGTTGTGATTTGCCTATCAAAGTTCCTGAAATGTGGCAAACCCTACAAAGATGTTTGTATTTTGAATAAAACAACATGAAATGGACTATCTTTTCAATATTGTTTTCAAATACCTTTTTCCTATCTAAACATCAGACCTGTGCAGGGAGTTTAGAGATGCCTCATTTGAAGCCTCTCTTCTCTCTCGCTTTTCATCATTTCCCAATCAGAGACTCCATTTTTTGCCTATTTCTGGGCCTCCAGTGTCCCAGAAATAGGCAACTCTCCTATTCTCCTTGCTCTTTGCTGCATCCTGATGGAAAATTTATGCCAACCACCTCTGGCTTTGTAGGGGAATACACAACCCAAGTTTGGTCTGAAGTAAGACACTTGGATCTTTGTGGGTCTCTGAGTGGCCAAATACCACAACCAATGGAGACACTTCCCACATCTCAGACAACAAGGTGCTCTGTTTCAGTCAGAATAGTAGGATCCTGGATTGAAGGATAAGGAGCTGGAAGGGTATAGGCATAGGTGAGACTGACCATCAAAAGACTTCAGAGTTGTTGGTGTGGATGCAGATGAGTCATAGCTACAGGCAGGACAGAGCAGACAGGATTGGTCAGAGGTGAAGTAATAAAAATGGGACCTAGGTGAAAGGCAAGATACTCAAACTTGCCATCCTTGCTCTCTTGCTTCTCTAGATAAAAAGAAAAACTAAAGCTATAACAATGAGAGGGAATGTTTCCTCTGGCCAAAGGAACCCTAAGCACAAGCTGAGGTATAGAAAATTGGGGATCTCCCAGACTCAGGCACAGGTGCAGAAAGAGTAGTTTCCTAAAGACGTGGCCACCTGAGATCCCTCCTGTAACTCAGGCTGACGTCTCTCCAGCAAATGAGCTAAATTTGGAAAATGGAGAGAAGAGTAGAGGTGAATCACCCAGGAAAATGTTCAATGATATATATGCTTAGCAGTGGGCCTGAAGGGAGATGAGATGTTGTACTAACCTGGGACGTGGAGCTGGCATTGAGAGCATAAGACAGGCACAGAAGAAGTGAAGTCTGGAGCCAACAGTATTCCCTAATTCTGCACCTTTGGGCAAGTCCCTCTTATGATAAAGCCTCCCCAGATTCTGTCTTCTCTGGCTAAAATAAGAACATAGTGCTTGAGGATCCCCAGTATTATTTGCAGCATTTAAAGCTTGTTGATCTTCAATCTTAGCCCTGAAGGAGTTCATATTTTGCTTGATATGGGACTGAGTGCCTCCCTCCTTTTTAATCAAAGTAAAGGTGTGTCCATATATCTTCATGTTTATGACTCAACATGTGAGCATAGTTCACTACAGTGCAAGACACAGATTTCAAATATTAGGGTTTTTTCTTACTTTCAACTTTTGTTATGTTGGTACTTTGGGGTTTCTGTAGTATTAGGTTTACCATATTAATTCTAAACTCAGTATCTCTTCATAAAAATTACTTGTCCCTTGTCATTTCTTCTGCTTAGGCAGGTTTTTGGATATATGTTCTGATATTTTTCAGGTCAGGTCAGGAAGACCAGTTTCCATTGAAAGGGTAAAGAGCTGGACAGGAGCTCTCAATGTAAGTCTAGCACCTACCCTGAAAATTTCACTTACTCTTTCTTCTCAGATAAGCAGTCAGAAGTTCAGTGAGAATCTCAGTGTCAGTCAGAGTCTTCCCTCATTCTCAGAAACTTAACTTACCATTCCATAAATATAGAAATAGCACATTAACAATTGGGGATTATCTGTGATGAGGCCCAACACTATTTTACTTCAGATAATGGCATCTATTGAAGTAATGAATTATTAAAACTTCACTTTTCACTAGCAATACTGGTCTTGCACAGATATTAAAATCTCCTTCCCAATCACAGACTAATGGGAGGATTTGTCACATCACAGAAGTGAACAACTTTAGTCAGTATGAAAATGTGGGTTCATGATAGGTGATATGCTGAAGAAATAAATGTATGTGAGTAGGGGAGTGCCCAAGTGAGTCTTTTTCACAATCAACTGTTTTTCAAAGGATATATATACATATCCTTTGATATATATAATATATATTATATATAAATGATATATAAATATTATATATATTTATGTTTTCTCTAAGTGCCTTATGGTTAGGTGGTAGATAGGAGGAGCACAGGAGGATAAAATGTATTAAAAACTTGGTCCACAAGTATTTTTCCCAAATATTTATATCTTTAAATTATTCTAAAGTTTTTGCAATTTGGAAGTCTCCAAATTATAGCTTGTTTGCTCTTTGCTTCCATCCTCTCCCTCTCCTTTTTCAGTGCATGCTGGCTTCTTACCTCAAGGATCCAAGTAGGAAGAGGGATATACAGTTAGCACATAGATAGGATTAACATACCTCAATTACTCTTGCTCTTTAGCATTTGCTAAGATTCCCATGTCTAGGAAGAAAAACCCAGTATGAAGTGATCAACAGACTTAGCTGTCTTACCTATTCCCCCTGAGAACTCACTCTCTCCCAGGTTCATTGGCAATCCTAGGGTTCAAGAAAGATGAGTAGGACCAGTTACTCCTTTTTACTCTATGACTCTTGGAGCTTTCTTAACATCCAAACTCATCTTTGGACAACTTCTTTCACACCAGGTCACCTAAGGAACTCAGAATTTTTGCCACCGAAACTTATGGAAGATATAAAGTGTGAAACCATAAAATTAAACTGGCTATATCTATAGCCAGTTTATACCCTTGAACTATAGTCTGTCTATGATTTGGCATGCACTTATGCCAACCCTCATCATTTACTCTATCCTCAGTCACTTCAAGATTGGCTTTTGGCTATGACTGGTGTGGCTCAATGGATTGGGCACCAGCCTCGTAGCCAAAGGGTGACTGATTCAATTCCTGGTCAGGTCACATGCCTGGGTTGCAGGCCAGGTCCCTAGTCAGGGACATGCTAGAGGCAACCACACTTAATGTTTCTCTCCCTCTTTTTCTCCCTCCCTTCCCCTCTGTCTAAAAATAAAATAAATAAAATCTTAAAAAAAAAGATTGGCTTTTGAGATAAAATTTCTCAGAATTCTAGCCCCAGAAATCTCAGGATATGATTCTAACCTTCTGCCTGATAGGCCTCTAACTGCGGAATCCCATGGACTTTTTTATACTATGGGTTAATTCAGTTATTCATACCTCTACACCCAAGTTTGAAACCCCACTACAGTGCAGTTTCCTTGGACTCTGTAATTGCTAAGCCACTAGGTAAGGAATTCTCATTTCTAACCAACTTCAAAGTGTTGGTTAGCATTTCTTCTGAGAAGCATTTCTTCTCAGAAACTTGTTTATAAAAATGCAATTCTGACAATGATTGTCACAATCCTTTCCCATGTCCCACCACCAGAAAAGTAAAACTTTCACACCATTGCCTATGACATGTTTCCAGTGCCAAGCCAAGATCATGGACACTTCATTTGGTTTGTTTTTTTTCTCTCAGGATTTGTGCATCTGGCTGGAGGGGATGGCCCCTGCTCAGGGCGAGTAGAAGTGTACTCTGGAAACAATAAGTTCGCAGTGTCTGATGTGAACTTTATGTGGCCCACTGCCCAGGTCATCTGTGCAGAGCTGGGGTGTGGCAAAGCAGTGTCTGTCCTGGTGGATGTGCCTTTCAGAGAGTCAGATGGACGGGTGTGGGCTGAAGAGTTCCAGTGTGAGGGGCAGGAGCCTGAGCTCAGGATCTGCCCCAGAGTGCCCTGTCCAGGAGGTGCTTGCCAGCACAGTGGGGCTGTTCAAGTTGTCTGTTCAGGTGAGATGCACAGCAGGACTTTAACCTCCCTGCATACTCTGTTGGGGTAAGAAAAACATGAGCTTTTGATAAAATCCTGTTTTCTCCTACCAGCATACACAGAAGTGCGGCTCATGAAAAATGGCACCTCTCAGTGTGAAGGACAAGTGGAGATGAATATTTCTGGAGAATGGAGAATGCTCTGTGCCTCTCACTGGAACATGGCCAATGCCAATGTTGTCTGTCGTCAACTCAGCTGTGGAGTTGCCATCTCTACCCCAAAAGGAGCCTACTTCATGGGAGGAGGTGGTCAGATCTGGAAAGCCCAATTTCACTGCTCAGGGACTGAGCCCTTCCTGTGGAATTGCCCTGTGACTGCCCTGGGCATTCCTGACTGTACCCCTGGGAACACAGCCTCTGTGATCTGTTCAGGTAAGAGAAAGAGAAGGGCTACCTGGTACTAAGAATGTTTCTTGAGTGAAATGTCCCTAAGAGCAGAAAGTGTGGAAAAGCTGCCTTCAAAGGTAACATATTTCAGAGAAATAAGAAATATGGATCTTCTAATTGTTCATTCATTTTTTTGGTCAAGGTAAGAAATGTTAAGAGGTGATATTTTTCAAATAAACATTTTATTTAAGTATGATCATAGAGAATGTATAAGTAATAAGTGTATCCCTCAGTCATGTACACCACCCCAGGTTAATGAAGAGAACATTAGAAGCACCCAGGAAGTCACCTTCCCCTCCCACCATTCACTTTGCCCTCTCTCCACTCCAAAAAGGAGCATATTCTAACTTCTAGTACCTTAAAATATTTTTGTCATTTTTTTGAACTTTATATAAAATCATGATATGTTTTTTGTGTGTCTAACTTCTTTGACTTCACATTATGTTTGGAGTTCATTTATATTATTGCTTAAGCAGCAGTTTATTCATTTTTGTTGCTATAAAGTATTCTATTGAATAATCACATGACCCTGTATTGATCAATTCAACTGATGGTAGATTTGACTTGTTTCTAATTCTTGACTATTACAAATATAATGTTATAAATTACCATAACACTGATTTTTGCTGCAGATATGTACATTTATTTTGTATGTTTGATCCTTGGACTTTTTTTTTTGGCTCTTAATGGCATGGTTCTTTGTTGAGCCAAGTTCTTTTAATGGGTATTACTTATCAACTTTTTCCTGTACATTTAGGGTTTCTTATATCCTTTTTAAGAGAATTTTGCCTACCTGAAGATCACAAAATATTCTTCTAGAGTATCTTATAGTAGCTTAGTAATTTTTCTTTTGCATATAATTGTACAATCCCCCGGGATGTCATATCTATGTATAGTGTGAGATAAGGGTCAAGTTTCATATTTTTTAATGGATATCCAATTGACTCAGAATCTTTTCCTGAAAAGACTCTTTTCCCTGCTGCAGTGGCACCTTTGTCATAGACTACATGTATGCCTGAGTCTTTCTCTAGACTCTGTTCTGCCCCACTGTATTATGTATCTATCCCTGCACTACTACCACATTTTCTTAGTTATTGTAACTCTATAGCAAGTCTAGCAAACTTTAAAGAAGTTACTTTATAATACCTCCTCTAACTTTGTGGCCTTTCTTATGTACTGTGTTAGTCATTCTCAGTCCTTTGCATACTCATACCCTATGAATTTTAAAATCAGCCTATCATTTTTTACCCTCCCAAAAAGTATGATGGCATTTTGATTGAGATTATATTTATTCTACATTCGAATTTGAAGACATTTAACCTTGAAAATATTGAGTCTCCAAACTTATTTACATGGTATATGTCTCCATTCATTTAGGCCTTTACTTTCTCTCAGAGGTTTTACACATCTTCCACTAGGTTTTCTCCTAGGCATTTTAGATTTCTGATGTTCTTAGTATTTCTTTTTTTAAATAGATTTTATTGATTATGCTATTACACTTGTCCCATTTTTTTCTCCCTTTTATTCCCCTCCACCATGTATCCCCACTACCACCATCATTCCCCCACCTTCGCTCAGGTCCATGGGTCATACATACAAGTTCTTTGGCTTCTCCATTTCCCATAATATCCTTAACCTCCCTGTATCTATTTTGTACCTACCATTTATGCTTCTTACTCCCTGGACCTTTTCTCCCATTCTCCCCTCTCCACCCTGATAACTCTGCATGTGATCTCCATTTCTATGATTCTGTTCCTCTTCTAGTTATTTGCTTAGTTTGTTTTTTAGGTTCATTTGTTGATAGTTGGGAGTTTGTTGTCATTTTACTGTTCAGTTTTTGATCTTCTTTTCCTTGGATAAGCCCCTTTAACATTGCATATAATAAGCACTTGGTGATGATGAACTCCTTTAACTTGACCTTATCTGGGAAGCACTTTATCTGCCCTTCCATTCTAAATGATAGCTTTGCTGGATAGAGTCATCTTGGATGTAGGTCCTTGCCTTTCATGACTTTGAATACTTCTTTCCAGCCCCTTCTTGCCTGCAAGGTCTCTTTTGAGAAATCAGCGGACAGTCTATAGGAACTCCTTTGTAGGTACCTTCTCTTTTAATCTTGCTGCTTTTAAGATTCTTTCCTCATCTTTAATCTTGAGGAGTATAATTATGATGTGTCTTGGTGTGCGCTTTCTTGGGCCAACTTCTTTGGGACTCGCTGAGCTTCCTGGACTTCCTGGAAGTCTATTTCCTCTATCGGATTAGGGAAGTTCTTCATTATGTTTCCAAATAAGCTTTGAATTTTTTGGTCTTCCTCTTCTCCTTCTGGAACCTTAATTATCCGGATGTTGAAATGTTTAAAGATGTCCCAGAGATTCCTAAGCCTCATTTTTTTGAATTCTTGTTTCTTCATTCTGTTGTGATTGAATGTTTCTTTCTTCCTTTTGCTCCAAACTGTTGATGAGTTCCAGTTTCCTTCTCTTCACTGTTGGTTCCCTGTACATTTTCATTTATTTCTTTTTTCATAGCCTTCTTTTTTTCCTCTATTTTGCAACCATACTCAAACATTTCTGTGAGCATCCTGAATACCAGTGTTTTGAACTCTGCATCTGATAGGTTTGCTATCTCTTCATTCGTTAGTTGTATTTTTTCTAGAGATTTGATCTATTCTTTCATTTGGGCCATATGTTTTTGTCTCAGCATGCCTGTTATGTAATAAGGGGCTGAGCCTTAGGTATTCACCAGGGCAGGGCAACCCACGTAGTTGTGTTGTGGTGCTATATGAGGGTGCATTGTGTATGTTCTAGGACGCTATGGTTCTCTCCAATGAACTCTCCTATGAGTCTGGGAGTTTCTCCTGCTGGCTCAGCCCCCACAGGTGTTTTCAATCAGACTTTTTGAGGCTTTATTTCCCCACAATGGGACCTTGGGTTGCAGGACCTGTCTCGCTCCCCATTTGTTCCTCCCAGTTTATCCACATGCAAATGCGGGACCAGCCACTCTGCCAGTTGCTGCTTCACCAGGCCATGTCCTTGAACTGCCACCTTGTCTCAAGTCCTCTCCAGCTAGGCTGTTGGTCTCCACCCCTCCTACTAGTCTGGATGAATGTTTCTTCTTTCACTTCTTGGTTCTTGGACTTCCATACAGTTCAATTTTCTGGCAGTTCTGGTTATTTTTTGTTTTTAAATTTGTTGCTGTCCTTCTTTTGGTTGTGCAAGAAGGCAAAGTGCATCTACCTATGCCTCCATCTTGGCCAGAAGTCACCTGCTGTTCTATTTCTTTTAGTGAAAGTGTCTTAGGAATGGATTCTGTCTGAATTTTTTTCACCTGCTATATTTCTATATTTTTGTTTTTGTCACTGACAGAAAAGTTGCAAAACTAATAATTCCCAGATAACTTTTACCCACATTCCACCAATGTTAGTATCTTACCATAGTTTTTCTCTCCCTCTCTTTTGCTTCCTGTCTCTCTCCTGTCCTATTCCCCCTAAATATGTAAAATCATTCTGAATTAGTAAATAAAATTGGTAGGTTACAGATATGTTATCCCTTCACCCTTAAAATAAGTTAAAGAATTCTCTTACATAACCACAGTACAATGATCAAATTTGAGAAATTAACATTGTTCTAATACTATCATCAAATCCATATGCTTTATTCAAATTTTGCTGACTGATCCAAAGTGTTGTTCACAGCTAACAGAAGATTTAAGTAATGTGCTGCATTCAGTTCTCATGTCCATTTAGTCTCCTTTAGTGTGGAGCACTTTATGAATCTTTCTATTTCATGACACTGGTCTTCTTAAAGAATACAGGCCAATTGTTATGCAGAACATATCTCAATTACAGCTGGAACAATACACAGGAGAATTAAATAAAGTAGAAGCACAGTAAATTAATATTATAGTTCATCTCACATAAATTGACTTTGACTTCTTTTCCTAAGTAAAAAATTGAAAAGACAACATCTGCGAAATCAATCACAAAATACCAATCTTCCCTAACTTGCAGTACAGCCAGAGCTGTTAATCTACTGATACTGCTGATGCTATAGTAATACTATAAGATTATGTTTAAGATATCTGTAATCCACAGTTAGTCTGCAGGATCCATCAGTTTTTCTCCTAGATCATATTAGACAGATCCTTAAATAAGGCCTAAATTCTTTTATTTTTATTTTTTTCAGTTACAGTTCTCCTGACTTTTTCCCAATTTCTAACCCATGCCCTGTCCCACTCCACTCCCACAGTCTATCCTCTGCCATTGCCCATGCCCATAAGTCCTCTATTCCTGTTCTTTTGCTTGCCCCTTCTCCTTCTTTCCCCTGTTTTCCCCCTCGCCACCCACTTTGGTCTCTATCAGTCTGTTATTTCCATGTCTCTGTTTCTCTTTGGCTCATTTGTTTGTTTCGTTGATTAGATTCCACATATATACATCACGTCATATGGTATTGGTCTTTCACCAACTTGCTTATTTCACTTAGCATAATGCTCTCCAGTTTCTTCCATGCTGTCACAAAGGGTAGGAAATCCGTCTTTGTTTCTGCTGTGTAGTATTCCATTGTGTAAATGTACAACAGTTTTTTGACCCACTCATTTACTAATGGTCATTTAGGCTGTTTCCAGCACTTGTCTATTGTAAATTGTGCTGCTATGAATATTGTGGTACAGAGGTTCTTTTGAATTGGTGATTCAGGATTTTTAGGGTAAAGTCCAAACAGTGGGATGGCTGGATCAAAAGCTACTTCCACCTTTAGGGTTTGTTTTGTTTTGTTTTGTTTTGAGGAAATTCCGTACTGTTTTTCACAGTGGCTGCAGCAGTCTGCATTCCCACCAATAGATGCCTTTTCATTCCCCCTAAGGCTGCCTTTTCTCCACAGCTTTGCCAGCACTTGTTGTTTGTTGACTTATTAATGATGGCCATTCAGACTGGTGTGAAGTGGTATCTCATTGTGCTTTTAATTTGCATCTCTCTAATGACTAGTGATGTTGAG